GTTTATCCGATTAACCGATTAATCGAACCTAATAATCGGCTAACTAATCGATTTTGAAAATAATCGTTAGCTGCAGCTACACTTTCCATTTCACTATATTGCACACCACACTTTTTTTTTCTTTTTTACTTCCACCGCTCCAAGCTTGCTCCTTTCAATACAAACTAGTAGTCCATCACTGGAGCCATTTTTTAAAATGTATTTGATTGTTTATCCGATTAACCGATTAATCGAACTTAATAATCGGCTAACTAATCGATTTTGAAAATAATCGTTAGCTGCAGCTCTACTTTATAGAGACATCAGAGGTCTTTTAGAATCCTAAAGCCTTTAAGTATCTCTCACAAATCAAGGGCACAGATTCCCTGATTTGCATTTTACCTTGACAGCGTATAACCTGGAAGTACTCAGAGCTGAGCACTAAAGGGTTCATACAATGCAGAGGCGATTCATTCACCAAACCCCTTCTGTTTTTCATCCTGAACTCCTCTCCAAGGCTCTGTGCTCATGGAGGAGACAGGTGAGCCCAGGGACCATAGGGGGAAGGGTGGCCCCGGGAGGAAATTTTAGGAACCAGTAATCGGTGTGCTATAAGTTAAATATAGGCTTTCCGTTTTTATATTCATTGTGCTGCTCAAAGAGGAAGCACTGTCCGAAAATCTAACTTTATACCTATGTATTGGCGTACCTTTAAAAGTCTGTTTGTTTTTTTCTTCTTTTCTTTTGTATAATATTTATACCTATGTAGACACAAAGTGCTTGATGACTTGCAGTTATCTTGAAGTGAGCGTTAGCAACACTGTCCATACACCTGATTTAGAGTTTAAACTGAATGAGCTTTCCATAATACCCAATCCATAAACTCAGATACTGCACCAGAGGCAGATCAGAGACCCTAAATAGCTAAAAGCAAACCGCATATGAGACACACCTGAAGAGAGGGCAGATATATGCCTGTTTCTGTACAAATAATCAGAGCGTATAGCTGGCTAGTGTAGTTTCACATATGGTAGCCCTCGTTCCCTTAGGGCAAGCAGGTCTATTGGTACTTGGTTACTCCCTGGACTTATTACATGATGCTATACTCTCTGGCCAGGTAGCACAAGAGGCTGAGTAAAGGTAGAACAAGAGTACCTGTGGTACAGGATTTTACAGACGTCTGTAGAGGATGGTGAGAGAGGTGCCTCAGCTACAGAGTACCTAGAGGAGTGTGCCAAGTGGTTGGTCCATGCGGCAGGCAAGAAATGTTATCAGTAAACAGGCAAGGGTCGGTCTATCCCAATTGCGTGACACAAAGCCTGTGACGTTTTTATCAGACACAGACAACGGGCCAATGGAAGGCATGGAGGGAGGCGAATGCTGCAGGCGTTATTAAGCAGCAGAACAGCAAGAGTCAGGATCGCAGACACCGCTAGTTAACTAGGCAACAGGGCACCAAAACCAATGGGGAGCCAGGTGGAGGGGTTCGAGGTGTGGCCACATTGTACGGGCAACAGAATGCTAGTCAGAGCAGCCACTTATGTCCAGAGATGCCATGGAAGGTGGGCCGGTCAGTGTGGGCAAGGTAAGTGTTTACAGCAGAGACATGGCTTTTTAAAGTCAAACAGAAAAACAAATGATAGGCGACAGCAGAAAGGGATACAGACTGCTAGAATAATCCAGAGTGGCAAATCACTCAGAAGACCAAGCCACAAATTAAAATCCAGTGAGGCTGGGGAGAACTTGGCCAGATTAATTACTGTTACCCATCAAGTGTGCATATTCTCAACAGCAATTAAGAGATATGTTTTACTGTTACAAGAGAAGGGAAAGGGAAGAGAGGAAATGTGGTCGCTTAATTTATGGGCCCTACACAAATTTCTGTTCATGAAGAACCTTCCTGACGTTTATTAAAAACTCCTAACAAAAAATAAAGTTTACCCAAAAAAAGGCAAAAATCGCAAACTCTATTAGATAGAGAATAAAAAGGGATATGTAAGTAAATTATCGGTTCAGGCTAAAATGAGTTTATTCTTTTTGCACTGACCTAAAAAAACATTCTGAAATGAAGAATTGCTTCCAAGCTCCAGTCTTCCTATTGTGGCTCTACAATGTTGATTAGCATGCTTTTGTACTATTTTCTGTTTGCATCCCCTGGCAGTGTACATAGTAATAGTCTGGATTACTGTGCATTAAATGAAGACAAGGCAATCAGGAGAAGTGCTTGTAAATCTCCATT